TAATCTGCCTTTAAAAAGGTTTATAACAATGAGTTACTAGCATTCTGTACTCTGCAGTATTCATTTTTATTCAAATTTCACATACTCTCTTACATTTCTAAGGCAGAAATGTGCATACAACAGAACTGCATGTTGAAACATAGAGCTTTATAGCCTCTTTCCACAAAATTCCACTTCTATAAAGCACAAGTTCTTGCAGTTTCATTCTGTTCAAAGCTGGAGGCGACAAGAAACCAGATAGAGCTGGTGTGAGTCCCAGGGTCCAATAAGCACTTTGAAACATATTCACTAAGTAAAGACTTTTAAATGTCTCCAAAAAGCGCAGGTGTGCAAATTACTCCTGATACAGACAGGATTAGGTTTCCAGTATCCCCTCAACCACTGTTAAACAACACCCCCACAAGCATTTTTCAGCTCATAAAACCTTTATGAGCTGAAAAGTTCCTTCAGTCTTCTTTTTTCAGCTGCTAATCCATTACCTTCCAGCAATAGCATCAGAGCTGCCATTACAATACACAGTAGCTATTTGAACATAAAAGGGCAAAAAGTGGTGAATTTTACTTCTTTGCGATGAAAGACAGAACTTCTAGGTCCTGTCTGATGCAACGGAAAAACGCTATTATGGTAACACATCACAGAGCAGGGTTATTGAGCTTTATCATTTTGACAAGGTTGTCATGAGCCAAAGAGAGTAACATGTTATTCCACATAAACGAATGAAGTCTCAAGGACTTTCCCTTATGAACCATGTGCCTGTTCCTTTTTATAAAAAAAAAAGGGATTATTCCCCATGCACAAACATATTCTCCTCATTAATCTGAACACCTGTCCTAGGTCTGTGTGTTTGTGCCATAAATTGTCAGAAACTGCATACTTTATATTCCTCTTAATTTGTGCTCCTGCCTGCCATTTGCTCACAGGGCTGAATATGGGTTGTTTGTACAATACATTTTATCACAAAAAACTATGAAGACAGAAAACAAAAAAAGTCTTGTACATATAAGCAGCACTTATGTTCTTTCTTTTGAGCATTTGAGTGTATTTACCAAAATGCAGGATAGTGAGTAGGATCTACAACCAGGTCCCTAATTACTTCTGTTTCCATGAGTAAAATTTTATATGAAATTTATATGAAATATGAAATTTTATATGAAATTTTTATATGAAATTTTATATAAATGAAACTTCATTTATGAATGAAAGTTTTAACTGATCACAAGCAAACGTATGAGAAGTTAGGAGTATAACAATTCAACTCTTGGATGGCAAAAGAGACCTTTAGGAAAGTCTTTCTGGATGGCTGGTCGAATAAAATTAAGGGAGCATTGAATTTTAAAAAGGACAAATATATTTAGGATCAAATTGAGGGTATATATTGTACTATTTAGGACTAATCTGGGAGGTCTAAGACAGCCTAAGATTCTCAGCAGTATATGTAAATTGAATTTAACCCTGTCCACATTCAACATCTTTCAAGTGCGGCTTGCATCTAAAATAATAACAAAGAATAATATCCCCTGCATTCCATACATCTGTAACACATTCCATACATCCATAACACATTCCATCTAAAGACTTCAAAGCACTTCAGGAAAGTCGTTGCCAGTTCAGTGAGGGTTTAAGAGGGAGAAGAATGGCGCAAGAAATGCTTCCCGATTTTACTTCTCTCAGATCCTGGCCACAGGCACAGTTACTAGACCTGGAGCAGCAAAGGGCTTCCCTTTGCTTCAGTAGGACTCCAGACAACCCATACATTGCAGAGAGAGATGCAGCTACGCGTGGCACACGCTGTCCTGCTCTCTGAGTACTGCTAAAACAGCCTGCTTCTCTCCAAACTCCTCTAGTTTGGCATGACCCCTGCTTTCCCTTCAGAGTATAAAAGCTCATAACTAACCAAGCCTAACAGCACCTCTGTGGAGCACTTAAGTATTATTATGCCTACTCTACAGATGGCAAATGGAGCTACAGAGAGCAATATTCAGTGTCTTAATATAATAGTCAGTTTTCACTGTAATTAAGTGATGTGTCTGATATGAAGCAAAATATGATACTGTATTTCTATCAAGTTCCGCTTTAATGACTGTTGTTTCTAGCAAAAACTGAGCAACAAGGAGGTAAAGAAATATTTCTTAAAAAAATATTGCCAACTTTACTGCATATACAAGAAGGAAAATATTATATTCATTTATATACAACTTTTATACAGCAAACCTCACCTTATAGTTTCCTATTTACAACACCTATTATTTGGAGGGCACGGTATGCAAGTTGCCATTTTTTAGCATTTAGCATTTTTGGACTCTTGGCTTCACAATCATGAAGGCCTTTGCTTATACTCTTCTTATCGTATATTTAAGAATGCCAGGCTATCTTGCCTTGAAAATATGCCAAGGCAAAAGAGAAAAAACTCTTGTTTTACCAGAGAGTTGTAATGATGAAAACTATTTATAGTTCTGATTTAGTTGAGAACTAGAAGTCAAAGGTACCATTTGTGTATTTCCTGGATGACTGTGAATCAATTTCTAAATCAATAATGATAAAGTTGAACTATATCCTAGTAAAGGGTATATGTTAGGAATATTTGCCAAATCCCCCCCTCCCCACCACCGCCTATATGCATTCCCTTCAGCACAAAGGAAACCTTATGTTCTGAAGCACAATGCAATGAAAATGTGTTTGACAGGATTTTCCAGATTCAGCCTTTCATTTCTCCAGAAAGAACAGAAAACACTAATCCAAATCCTCAGACAGAATAAATCTCTGGCAGCTCTAAGCTACCTTGTAGGTATAGGGTGGCTTTTCTCTGCAAGTAGCTAAAATTGTAGGAACTTACACTGTCAGATTCTGAAAACAGAGTAATAAAGAAAATTCCTTTGTGACCTTGTACTAAATACATGATAAAATTCCTTGCATTTTGGAAGGGGAGAGACACTTCCATTTAGAGAATATTCACTCCTAAAGGCAGAATTTGAAGACTGTATACCTTTAACCCTGCATGTAAATATCCACAAACATACAAACACATTCACTTTTGCAAATATGCATGCACAGCTTTAGCAAGTTTGTGAAGACACAGAAAGTAAACCTTGAAAAAAAAGTCTATCCTCAGGGCTAGATCACCCAAATGAGAGCAAGCACAGCTGTGGATGTGACAATGCATTGATCCACTGTCCCTTACATAGTTCAGTTTGGATTAACAATTCACATAATCGCAATATCTCCAACTGCACTAAGCAAAACATAAACCATGACTCTTCCTGATACATATGCTGAGAAATCTTGAAAGATAGATCTTGTATACCACTGAAAGAAAATATAAAGTTTCTACATATTTCCAAAACACACAACTTCCTCCCATCTACTTTGAATACATAGCTGCTCAATGCAAGCTACTCTCCTGTGTGCAATAAACTGTAGTATAACCTAACAATATAACACAGGAAACTGTATCACTACTGTACAGTCTCACTATTAATTATTCGTCTCAGTTAACCAAATTTCCACAGTTACAAAAATATTTAGTATGTAACCTAATCTGCAGAAATTACCTTCTGTTATCGACAGATTTACCAGACTGTCTCATTTAACTTCCCATACACTAGCAATATAGCCAAAATATCCTTAAAGTATCCCAGAAACAAAAGTATTTATATGACAGAAAAATGTTTAAACAACTGAGCTATTATTTTCTGAAACAGAGGGTTAAACTGCCACTGATATAACTTGTGCAAGTATACATCTTGTAAATATAAAATAGCATAATAAGCCTAAAGTAAGTAAGGATACGAAATCCACTGCACCAAAGGTTCAATAACGATACAGCAGATCTCAAGGGATCTACAACTGCCTTTTCATTTCTGAAAAAAACTCTGCTAAACAGAATGCAACTCCTGACAAAATCAAAAGACTTGCATAAGTTATGGTAGCTGTATAAGTCCTTCAGAGATATGGAAATTGAAGTCAAGAATCAATGAGAAACCATCTTGTTCTATAATCATTCAAATCAGAAATACAGTTATGATACATAAGGCACACAAAATGTATTTTTACTGTGTTATTTCAAAAAAAGAAAAATATACCTTTTTAAAAATAAACAGCTATATAATAAATATTTAATAAATAAATAACTATTTTGAGTTTTATCATTTTTTGCCAGTTTTCTTATCTCATTTTTAAAAAATAAGGCTTTATCAAGAGATATAATTGTCTGTTTATAGGCTTCCTTAATTTAAAACTATATGGCCTTCAGCTGTTATATTACAGAAACACATTGATCAAAACTCAATAGTTTTATTGCTATTTTGGCAGTTTCTGTTCTGGATACCCATGAAATTGAAGCTGCGTACACATATACAGTGCCATCAGCTAAAAAAATATGATGAGACTGTACAAATTATGTCAATTTGCATCACAGATGCTACAAACCAGTCAGAAAAAATATTATGATGTGCTACAAAAACCTGCAAAAATCCTTCCCCCAAGCCACATGAGATACATCTGTGGACATAACAATACGTCTTTATCTTTTTTAGCTGACTACACCGTAAATGGCATTGTTAATAGCTATAGACTAATGGAATGTTAAAATAATCTAGTGCTTCATTCAAGACCAGTAATGCATGGAATGGAAGCTGTGATATTAAAATGCTTGCTTCACAGGCAGCTGAAGTTAAATCAATGACTTGACAACATCATATAAGAAAACAGGAATATAATCATCAAGACTCTTAATAGGTAGTACAAGTGTTTTATCTTCATTCTTACATGAAAAGCAATCTGGCCTAAAACCATATATATTATGCATTTCTGCAGAGTTTTTTTTTCTAATCAATAGAAAAATAGACATACCAACACTTAGTAAGTTGCTGTCTAGATAAAATGCGGTACTTTGCATGGTTCAGTGATCCAAGAAACACCTCCAATATATTCTAAAATACACCATTTTGTTATGATAAATTGTCCATTGTGCTGGACAGTAGGTCTAAAAGGCAAAATCTTACCTGTATCATTGCCTGTGATTTGAATAACATACAATCTTATGTCACTTCCACTATCAGGGGATGAAGTAGAAGGAGAGACCTCTTGAGGTTCTAATGCCTCTGTGGCCTCCTTCACTTTGGGTGGTGCAGTAGGTCGTGCAACTGCAGTAGCAGTTGATGATGTGAAATACTCATTATCAATTTCTGGTTCTGACATTCTTCCTGTCAGATCATCATCAGTAGTGGCTTTGCTGGGGGAAATAGACTCATCAATTATTATGATGTCACTACTTGTTACTGCTTCATCATCCTCAACAATGATACGTGGTGACTTTGGAGTAGGTTTGGATGCTGATGTAGGCTGAATTCTGTCTACAGCACTAACGGAAAATGTAGTTACATCACTGGGGATTGCTTTTTCCGTTGCATTTACTGAAATTATAACTGGTTTGATTTCTTCAGGTTCTTCTGATACTCCCGAACCTTCCAAAGTTGGGCTTGCAGAAGCTCCCAATGTCAGAAGAGTAATGCTTTCTGCAGTAGAATGGTCTGCCGGCACTGTATGAGGGGGCAACACAGATTCCCAGCTCACTATACTGCTGTCCTCTTCTCTGGCAGGGGTTCCTCTCCTTTCATCTGCTTTTGTTTGAGTACTTGCTGTTGCAGACATTGCTTCAGTAATCTTTTCTTCTTGATCAGCAGCAGTTGCAGCTTTGGAAGTCACTGTGAGGAGCAGGGTGACAGTGCTTGTTTCAGCAGGTCCTAGGACTCTTCCATAATCTGTCAGCTTTACCGAAGGCATTGATACTTCTGTTGCTGGATATGTCTCCTCATAGGCTGAACCTGCCTCATCCTGTTTCTCTTGAACAGTTGATTTAGATGATTCAGATTCTGATGTCATCTGTTGTTCCTGTATTTGAGTGGCTGTCACAGGTAAGGTCAAATCTGTAGAAGTACCTAGTTCCATATCTTGATCTTTCTTGAAGAGCTCATCTAGAAATACTTCACTGTCTTTTGCAGTTGCTTCTGTTGGAATGAAACCAACAGAAGTGGTCTGATCAATTATTTGCATATCTCTAGTGATCTCATTTTCAAGAGTAACTGGAACTATGGAAGCATCACGTTCTTTCTGGGCAACTGTAGTACTTATCTTTGTTATATCTGTAAGCATTATAGATTCCTTTGTTCCTACAAAGCCAGATGATGATGTTCCTTCTATGTCTGGAAGAGTTGCCAGTGTTTCTTCCTCAGTTACCATTGCAATGCTTGTCTGATCTTCTTCTGTCACTGTGTGTAATGAAACCTCCATCTCAGTAGTGACATCTTCATCAGCAGGTGTTGCTACTGAACTCTCAGCAACTTCTCTTTGTCCAACTTCTGGGGTAGGCATGGACTTTTTCAAAATATACCCTGATGTTTCATATCCTTCATGTTCAGTGACCTCCCTAACTGTGGGCAAAACAGTTGTTAATTCAATATCACTTGAGGATCTAACAGGCTTTATTGTACTATCTTCATCCACTGATATTCTGGATACGGTGACCTGTTCCAAATCTGAAGAGCTGTTTGTGGGGAAGACACTTCCAATATCTTTACTCTGATCAGAAACAGCAGATACAGCTTCTTCATCATCTTTTTTTTCCATTGGTTTAGGGCTTATCTTAATTTCATCTGTTATTTCTGAATATGTTGCTCCTGGGTGTTTCGTATGTTCCATAATTTTCCCTGGAGAGGATGTAGGCTCCATTCCAGACACCCCATCTTCTGTATCAATCTCATTTATTCTCATAACATGAGATGACTCTCTTCTTATATAATCCTGATCATTTTCTGTCAGTAGCCATATGCTGGAGACTGGAGGAGCAGGTGTGGATTTCTCTCTTACAAAATGTCCCTCAGATTCTGTTTTAATAGAAGCAGGAGTGACTGTTGTGCCATAAGGGGTCGTAACACCTATTGTCTGCTCTTCTGTCTCTTTCGTTTTTTCCTGTTCTTCTAAAATGACTGATCTTACTGTTTGTGGAGATGAGTGGATGATGGATGTGAAACTCTCTCCAAAACTTTGTGGGGAAGTAACACTTCCTGAGAGAACGATGGGCTCAGATCCTGTCTGATTAACAGCTGGTAGAGTAAAAGACACAGGTATTGCAGATGACATGGTAGGCTGCTCATCTTTCAAGTCCTCTCTGCTTCCTTCAGCCGATGCTTCATTATTCTCAAACAGAGTTGCAGAGGAACTAAATTTCAATGATGGTGTTGGCTCACTGGCCATAGAAAATTGTTCAGTGGTTACCACATGCTCATCTGAGAACGTTTCTGATACAGAAGGAACATCTGATTCTGGGATGTTACTAGTAACCATGCCAGAAATCCTATCAGGCATAACAGTGAACATGCTTTCATTGCCCTCCCCCTCTGTAGTAAGATCATATTGATCCGTGAAAAAAGAGTTGGGGATTACAACAGTTGTAAACTTCTTGTCAGATTTTGCTTCCATTGATTTTTTTGTGGGTTCTTTTGTTGACTGGGTAGCAAAATAGCTTTTCTCTTTTGTTAGTGAAACTGAAGATCCTGCCCTGGGAAACCCACTCTGTGAAGTTGATACCAAGCTGTCTGTGGGTGTCATCATAGGACCCACTTCTATTTCTTCAGTCTGGTCATCATCATCACGGTTTTCTGAATTGCCTGTTTCAATATCTTCCCATGAAACAGAAGAAGTCTTAAGTACAGTTGTGCTATCCTGAAAAATGACAGAGGTCAAGAAAGCGTCCTTAATGCTTTCAGACCTACCTTGTTCCTCGGGCAATTCTGCTTCAGAATAAGTGTGCTCCTCCAAAGTTGCAGATGTGCTCTCTGTTAAGCTAGGTGAAACATCATATTGAGTCCCTCCCAGTGCATCATAAGTGCTTAATTCGCCATCTGTGACAGTTTGAGGTAGAAGGGTGGTTAACTTGTTCTTCAGAAGCACCTCCATTTCCCTTTTTTCCTCAGCCAAAGCAGTAGCCATTTCTGTATCTTCCTCACTCTCAAGGGCTGTTTCCTCTAAATAAGGGACCTTTGTTTTGGTGATAGCCATTTCAGTAACTGAAGCCTCAAAAATAGGAGGTTTAAGAGTAACTTTAGCAGATGATGGTTTCACACTGTCTGACATAGTGTTCAGAGATGTACCCAGTTTAAGAGTTGTAGACTCTGGTATGACTTTTTTACCTTAAAAAAAAAAAAAGAAAAAAAAAAAGAGAGAGAGAGAGAGAAAAAAAGGCATTTTAAGGAATCATTTAGCAAGAGCACAAACAAATGATATTTTAATTTAGTGTGAATGTTCCTGACAAAAAGTAAATGCTACTATGAGAAAAGCATCAAGGTCAAAAGCTTTAGACAGTTGTTTAGAATACATTAGAGATTTGAATGATATTATAAAATATCATATTACAATGCTGCAAGAGCATCCAACTTGGATGATTTTCAATTAGAGATGAAATGAGCACAGTAGCAGTATTCCTCAAATTTATCGTTTACATAATTACCCCCAGAAAGCCTAATACTATACTTGTACCCATCAGATAGCTAAATACTGTTCAGAGAATAAATACATTTACTTCATGATGTCAAGAAGGCACAGTACTTCAAATCTGTGGGTTTTCTCCAGCTCAGCTGTAGAGAGGCAGTGAAATATCAATTTAGCTTATTTTCAGCACACGAAAAGGAGCACTCATAGGAGCGAGAGTGTGCTTCAGCAGTAGAAACAAACATGCCATGAGAAAACACTATATCACAATGCCACAAGACTTGCTGACATATGTTTAAATTCTACTCAGAGAAATGTAGATTATGGAGAAAGGTGAGAACAATAAGCTCTAAGATCATAAACTTAGTACTCTAGTGATGTTGGTCTTGGGAAAACACTTCAAAGGTACACATTTAAACTTCCTTCACACACAAAAGCTTTTTTTATGGGAAAGTTGCACATGAAAAGGCAGAATATTGAACGCTGTTAAGTGTGACAGCAAGGAGTTACTAAGTAACTATCCTTGATCACAAGACACAAAGTAAAGCCTTTCCGGTAAATCAAGCCACAATAGTTTAAAATGCCCCGTATCCCCTCCTTCTGCCAAAGATTTCCACCCTATCTGAGAAGGAAATGCATGCCAGCAGCCATTCTGCTGCAAAGTCTGGTGTCTGGCTTCAAGCCAGTGATAAAAGTGAGTATGTGCTAAGAAGACAGGATTTACTCAGGAAAAGCCCAGGGTGAAAACACCTTCCCTTCTGCCAGATCTTCTGTAAGGTCAATAATCTTTAGAAGGGCAATAGGAACAGACAGAGGCTAGATGCCAACATCTTAAATCCTAGTTGCTAAGCAGTCCAGAGTCAAAAGTCCTATATGGAACCAAGTCAAGAGCAAAATATGGCCCTTCAAACCATACTAAGCAAAATAAAAATACAATTTCAAGATGGCTAAACCTTTAACAGGGCAAGAAAACTATTCCTCAAACATGCAAGAAATACCACAGATAGTTACAATATTTTATGAGATAATCTCGAAGACAAAAGCTTGGTAGTGTAGCTCTGAGTTAATGAAAGAGTTCAGGAAAAATCTACTTTATGTGGAGTACACACAACAATTCAGAGAAGAAATGAGTTTTGAAATAAACTTTTATTGCCTGACATACAGGTATTAAGATGTTCTAGATGCTGAAACATTATCTTACTCAGTGGGAACTTAAGGAACATGGGGAAAGTTCGGGTTATATAATAGCATGAGCAAAAACGAGGAATTAAAAGAAAGAGAAAATTTTAGACTTAACTGTAGCCCTATATTTGTGCAATGATATTTGACGCTCAAGCATTCACAGCATGTATGCATGAATCAGTTATTTTCACACATTCATGTCTAATTGGGTGCCTCTCTGGTATTTGTATATATGGATTCTGTGCATGTAAGTTAGGGTCACTCAAATATTTGTTTAGTTTTAAACACCAAACTTTGAAATTGTTGCCTGTGTAGGAAAGCTATTTGATTTTATCCTACAGTAGACAGAAGTAGCTTGCCAGAGGCTGGCTGCTTAGAATTTCTGGAAGAATGGATAGACTTACAGAGGAGGGAAATGCAGAAAAATAACTGGTATTTCAGCCTTGAACAAGGAATGAAAGTGAAAACATAATTATGAGGATAAAAAGATATGGCATTGCTATGGTTAAAAAGAGCAGTGTTCTTTCCCAGAGGAAAAGGGAATGGATTATTTTCTCTATGATGTGTTAATTTGTGTGTATGTGTGTAATTTGATAGATAAGATTTAGTTACTTATATATTCTTTCTTGTAGGCTTATGCATTCAGTTGAGCAAGAACGAGTAAACTTCTGAAGACCTCACAAAGGAAAGCACAGACTAAAACAAATTATTTTAAACTTTGGGGTGCTAAGACCTAAAATGGATGCTTATTACTCCTTACAACATCTGTGTTATTTGACTCTGAGGCAATGTTTTTACATATACATATACAAATATATATATATAATATGTATAAATATAGTGTTATATTAATATATATTATACATGTATATATATTAAAAAATGCTGCTATACTTGAAATCATTTTTCATCAATGAGTCACTTAAACAGATGAGTTTCACTTCCCAGATATGGAGCTAAGACTACAAGTAACTAAGTTAATATTGGTCCATATACTGGTAGTGACTTCTTATGCCAAGATAACCAAAATCATTCATAAAAAAAACATTCATCCCAAGACAGATTTGTCTTATGGCCCTTCTTTATGAAAAAGTAGAAAGTAAACAGCATAGTCCTGTATTATCCCTTCTAAAGGCAAAGTGATTTTCCTTAATGAAGACAGACGTTGTTTTGAAGGCAAAAATCAGTCACTTGCTCAATGTTCAATTGACATATTTCAAGTAATGCTGAAGATTACTGTTTGAAAGAATATCACTATCTACTATTATACAGCAAAGTTGGACAAAATGAGGGTATAAGGGCAGATTTCATAATTGCTGAAGTTAAAGTCAATCTTGTTCCATCACTTCCAGGTATGTGCTTATTCACAACTGTTTAGGTAACTTTCCAAGAAAACGTTTGGAAGCCCCAGATGTTCATAGATTTATGTCTGAGATGCTGTTACTTCATCACTCATTATCTGATAATTCCTCAATAAAATAAGTATCTATTTATAAAGAAAATCAGAGCAAATCCCAAGGGTACTCTATTCAGCAAATATTCATTTGTACACTGTTGTAAAGAAAACATTTACTTTTAAAGATTTTATCAACAAACAACCAATTTTTATCATGTGCAGAGTAACATAAATCTAGTACGATCCAAAGAGCTGTTTGGGCTAGAATTAATTTTCAGGACAACTAGAACTGTGCTGGCATAAATAGGAGATACAGGATCTTTTACACACTTCGTTCAAGTTTGCAAGCTTTTTTGAGTGGATGAAAAAAAAATGCTTATTCTTCATGAAGAAATCTATCTTTCTTAATTTATTTTTCTGCAAGAAAACAAAAACCTTTAATACTTGTTTTAATAGGCTGAATGTCAGTTTTAACTGTCATCTTCTCTACCCAGATGTTTTACATTACTGCAGTCCTTGCGATATGCATGCGATATGCATATTGTCCTCCTCCTGATGCAAGTCATGAGGCAGATTTTCCTAATAAAATTCATCAACCTATTAGCAGCAAGAAAGCAAGTCATCTCACCAGCAGCTGGTTATATCAAAGGCTATCTCATTTTTTTATTATTATTGATTCTTATGTTATGAACAACCTGAATGAAGTTGGTTTTGGATGGAGATTGTAGTTTTGTACAGATATGATATTGTTTCATTCTCTCTGTCTTATGCTTTCACTGTATAGCCTCTTTTCACCTTCTTTCCCATCATTGTCTAAACAGGGGTTTAAAATAATGGAGCACCATTAAAACTTAGTATTTTTTTCCAAGAAAAGCACACTGTGCAACTTAAGCATGTACATTTTAATGATACCATGTAACGATTTTAATAAGAAACATGCTGGAAACTGTTATCATGTACTTCCTTTGTAATGATTGGTGCATGCTATGAAGCTAGTAGAGAGTTCTAGGGATTTATTTGACCTGTACTCATCCAAGATATTACCAGAGATATTTGCAGGGATGCATGTCTTACTAAACTGCATTTCTGAGAGAAGGTCAAAGACCTATCTTCCTAACAGAGAATCGTTCCAGAAAATTGTTGAGCGAAGGTAGTTGCCTCGGTAAAGCAATTTAAGCCTTCACCTTCACATACAAAAAAAGGAAGCATGAGCAGAGCTAACAGCCTGTGGTCAGTCGTATGACTGAGATGTTTCCCTACTCTTTTTTGCCCATTCTGATACTGGGCTGAGCCGACCGAAGGGTATAATACACTGGCTCTGTTATGTTCAGCTGTTTGCTGTGTTTTCACAGAAAGTCTTCCACAAAAAAACAGTACTTGCAAGTTGCCTTGCACCACATGCACAGAAACATGCTAAAATACTCTTGCTTGAACTCTCGGGAATGTCAGAAATAGAGGTTCTGGGGGAGCAAGGAAGAGGTTTGCAGAGACACAACTATTTTTCATTTCCATCACGTAACAATGGTCTGTCCTATTACATACTAAGAAAGCTGTTGCTTCCTATATTTCTTCTTTCAAAACCCGTCTCTGATTCTGAGCTTTAGACAGACAAATCATCAGGCAAACAGGCCCTTAGTCACAAGAAGACAGTGACTTGAAGTCACCCTTGATGTGGGTGTGTTGAAACAATCAAAATAATTTGAACTTCATTCAGTGAATTAACACATGGGACAATGCGTCAGGAATTATTCAAAACCTGAATATTTCCAATTTAGAGCTAAAATGAAATCACAAATCCAAACCAAAAGGAAACAACAAAGCTGCAGGAAACAAAGCCAAAACAAAAAGCAGATCGGAAAAAAAAATGTCAATCCAGAAAGAAATGAAGACAGGAAAAAAATGTTTTACTGAAAGGTTCGTCAAAATCAACATAGGTCTCAGGCAATATAACTTCAAGTATTCAGTGTTTCTCAGCAAAATATGGATTTATTTTTCATAAAATTCAACCATTTCTCTTTATGAACAGGTTCAACAAGTGCACTTTTGCACCAGTATTTAAGACAACCTTATGCATTTTGATTAGTGCATTTATGTAGTGTAATTTATGCTAGAGATGCTACTTTATTAAAATGTCTAATCCCAAGCCTCTTGAAGTCAGTGACAAGATTCCCACAAACTTCAGTGTATCAAATCTTGAGAAACAGAGAGGGAGAGAGCAAGAAAGAATAAAAAAAGAATATTATTTAAATATCCATGTATCTATGCAGTCACTAGCCATTAAATAGGAAATCATTAAAAGTTAAAGTTTTTGCTGAAACAAGGTTCTATTCAATTACAAATAAGCATCACTTTTCAAAAACTTATTTATCAGCAACTTGTTTATCTACAACTCTTTTAAATAAAAAAAAATTAAATTAATTTATTTTACTGAAGAAAATTCCTATATGTTAACACTTCAAATACATTAATTCTGATGATGACCCCCAAAGAGTCTCAAGTATTTAATCATGGGCCTAACTGGAATTTTTTAAAGCCTCACCAGGTACATCATTACGTACATTTCAGTCAAAAAAGGAGAACTAAACAGTCTCCACAAGAAGGAAGTTTTGGAAGGATGAGATAAAAAACATGACTAATCTTTTAGAAACTCAGGGCCATGTGGTTTCTGTAGAATAAAAATATTTGTGATTAAAGCAGTGAAGGTCTTATTTTTTTAACAAGATTTTGTATTTTAAATCACAAATTATTAGTCTAAGCCCTTTTTACTTTCTAAAGTGTTTTCTAAAGGTCAAGACACTTTGTACAATGTGACTTTGTAACCAGAATAAAGTTGAAGTTATAATCCTGAAATTTAACTGCACTGCAGTTAAATATGGCCCAGGCTGATTATGTTATTGAAATTAATGCCTACTGCTTGTAAGTTCAACATACTGCTTAGTTACTTTTTTTTTTTTTTAAATCTATATAGCACATTTTATAAAATCATCCAAGATTTCAAAATATAGTTTAAGGTTTCTTCTAACTTAGATGCAATTTAAAATTATTATATTGAGATTTCCCATCAATAAGGCTCAGATAGGAGTGAAGACCACAAGCTGTACTGAAGAAAGAGATATCACCTTTGTAAATGACCTATCAATCAGCTTTGTAAAAGATCTGTTTTTGTAATGATTAAGCCAGACGTCTGCTTTGACACAGATCTATTGCTTCGGAGTATGGGAAAATTTGAGAGTTGCCCTAATCCTCTCTGGGGCTGAGAGCCGTTAGTTCTCATGGACTTACTGAGAGAGTATAAAATTACTCAGCATGAGTAAAAGTGGCAGATACAGATCCTTAATCACTGTCATTTCACTTCAAGCCAAAGACACAGCCCGTGGCCATATCGGTCTTGAAGTGGAGTTAATGGGAACTTCACTAGCTTTCACATAAGAGTGAGAGGAAACTTCCCTGGGACATAGTAAAAATGTGGCATCACTGTTTCCGACTGTATGAAACATCTGTTCTGCAGACCTCCGGTACTGGTGTTAGTCTAGATAGCCAGCTTGATCTTGCCTGGCTCACACAGGAACTCTGTGTTTCTCCCTTTAGCAGACCTGGATCTCACAAATGAATGTAAGGATCTTCCTTTTTTTATTATTTATTTATTTTTAAGCAACAGAAAAAGCTCTTTGTTTGTTTGACTGGGTATTCAAGCTAGGAAGCAAACTTAACAGTATGGTACTCTCTCGATACGTAATGATACAAAAAGCTGTCAGCATTGTATGGGATTCAAGACTCAAGGTCATCGAAAGTACCATTTTATTGGCCGGCTGTATGGGAACGCTGCATAAAATGACTGCTTAACTAGCTTCACATAGAGTAAAAGCAGGCTGGGCTTAGGGATAGCAGACTTTCACGTAATACATTCCTATATGGAAACTTTGAAACAGATTTGCCCGGGATGTTTCAGAAGAGACTTTAAGACTAAAGATTAATTGGAACAAGGACTTATGTTCAAATTTCCTGCTATACAACGGAGTCTTTTTTTTTTCTTTCTCTCTCCTCATAAAAAGGACTGGCTCCAGAGTGACTCACTCTATAGTCACTGAAGTTTGACATGTGCAAGTCCAAGATGCTAGACAGTGAGTCTCATTACTCACCACTTGTATAAATCTTTTACCAAAGTAAACGAAGACTTGCAGCTGGTTCCTGTGACATCCTCAGCATCTTCTGAAATGGAGAGAGAATAGTTTCAAGAGGTCCCCTCCAACCTCAACCATTCTGTGAACTTCTGAAATAAATGGCACACAGGCTGAAGCAGGGCACACGGCTCAAAGAAACACTGCTGTGTTTCCATACACAAAAGAGCTGTATTTAGCAAAATCTGAATCATCAGTAGCTCTTAAGTAAATCTGATCTAACGTTGACTGCAATTAAAAGGGCTAGTGAGTCCTGTCTAAAAAAAATTATGTAAGTTTTGTTTAGTTTTTTTTTTTAGCCTGTAAAAAGATCCAAAGTAATAAACTGTCTACTTCTTGGGTTGTAAACTGATGAAATATTTACTCTCTTTGTCTGAAAGACACGACTTTGTAGAAAGAACGCTTAGAAAAAAAGTCACCAGCCAAGTTCTTGTGAGTGATGATTTTAGGATGCACGGTACATCACTAAAATTTGTTAAGTAAAACTTCCTGAAAAGACAGTCAGAGCACACATTTTATTTGAAATAAGTGACGTTCACTCACACAAAAGGCTTGGAAAGTTGAAACTTGTTCTACGGACTAGATTACAGGCAAATTGTAAAGTCCCTGTCCCAGCTTTTTGAATGGACTGAGGAGCTTCACCCCCATTAGTGTCAATTTTACCCATCACACTAAAAGTGATAATAAACACTTGAGCAGAGGGACAGAAGGAAAAGTATGACAAAATACTATTATGCAGATAAAGCGCACACTCCTGAGCTTAACTAGTCTTTCCTCTGGCATGTAGCTCCTTTGAAGTCCATCAGGACTGCTTCCACAGGCGGTTTTGCAAGATCTTACCCACAAAACAACAAAGAAAAAAAAAAGTATTTTAAAATGTTGCAGATAGGAGTGTGAGAACATGGGGCACCTCCAACTCCCACTGACACACTTTTGAAGTGAGAGCTGCCAGACTGCAATACTACGCCAGGTGCCAGGATTTGCTTTCAGCAGCAAAGACTGTCCATAAAAGAGAATCCAGTGCCTGTGCTGGAAAGATCTGTAGCTACAGCTGGCTCAACAAGGGCAGTAGAGGTTGCACATTTCAAGCAGCCATGACTTAAAGTTACATGAGAAACCCCTCCCCCAAAATAGTTACAGACCAAGTCCTGAACTCAGCACAAGTAGCCTTTACTCCTTACTGTCAATGGTACTATTTGCAACTACAGGTACTATTTGCAACAACAGGAACTTGTTCACTGAACAAACAGGCCTCTCTGAGGCCTCAAAGAAGTTCCATAAGGACATCAAAGAGCAGTCCAAAGCTTTGTCCTGCTGAGGAGGCTGTAAGTTTCAGGAAAGGGGATGTTCAGCTGGAAATAAGTGCTCTAATCTCTTAGAACTCACCTTCCCGCTAGTAGCAGTGTCCTCTTGCACCAAGAACACTCCAGCGACAGAAGGGATCTTAAAGGATAGAAATAAGGTGGTGGAAGTCTCTATTAGCAGGCAGGCATATGGCTGGGTTTGTGACGCCTGAGAAGTCTGCACAGCAATTTGCATGCTGGACATCATGAGATGCATGGATAGGTTATCTGGAAGTATATGCGAACAGCAAACAGAACCACAAACAGAAATGTAGGATGGATGATCTGGAGGCTGCTAGGTAGATGAGCCCAGGACCTCCATGGTGATAGTCCCAAGACTGCCAATTTCAGGGAGACCTGATAAGCAGGCAGTGATCTCGAACTACAATGCACAGATGACGTGGCAGTATAGTAAGGAGGAAAGAAGGTTTATTAGAAGCTAGGGAACCTTTGCGGACAAAACGAACCTGTACGAGAAGGATGAACTGCATGATCATCTTAACAGAGCCAGGCTGCTGGCACTGGAAATGTAAAAGGTTGCAGAGGAACTCAAAGCCAGAGGAAAGCTGGCAGGCATAGAAGAGAATCTGGTTTAGACTGATGCAATCTACCAGGCGGATGTGGCAAGCACTCAGTCTGCCTCTCAAAATACCAGGGGGGAAACAAGCTGCACAATCATAGTAAGAAAGGCAATTTAAACCATCCACAGTATACACATGAAATATCAAGTGACAGAGAGCAGAAATTAAAACTGTTTTAGAAGCCAAAAAAAATAAGATGGGAGAAAATGCCTGGAATCAAATGACAGACCCAAAATAGCAGTCATCTGGGAGACCTGGAAATGGCCAGGCCTGTGTGTAGTCTGTAATAGTCTCTCTTGTTGCCATCTTTGGAAATAGAGCATCAATCTAGATGACAGTCATTCATTTGATCTAGCATTTATTCTTAGGGCATTTCTTCAGTTTCCATGTTAATTGAAATCAAACAGAAGATACTAACATACAGCCAGTCAGACACTGAATTACTTATTATTCCACAGCCCCAGGTGTGGTGTGTCACTCAGCTTAAATACAACAGCCTAGGCTGAACTCTCACCTTAATTTTCTGCTGTACTTGTCTGTCAATATTTCTAAAAACTTTTTTTTTAATTTGGGTTTTCTCCTCTTTTTCTAAAGCCAGAGTGATTTAAAAAAAAAAAAAAAAAAAAAAAAAAAAAAAAAAAAAAAACAAAACCTCTTTCCCCCAAAAACCAAAATCTGGGTAAGGAAAGCCTGTTTGGTTCTCATAGCGATACAGGGTTCTCACCCCAAGTAAACCTCCTCCACACTGGGGCCTAGCCACAGAAGCAGGATAGCGAACGCTTCCGTCAGCCAGCCAGCCGTAGTCGCACTGGTCAAAGCCGTTCCTCCAGGCAACGTACAGGTTCCCAACGGACGCAAGAACGCCGTCCCTTTTCTGACACAACTCCTTAGCTTCTTCGAAGGTTAGCTTCTCAGGAACCGAAACATGAACCACTTCATCTAAGGGAAGAAAACACAGATAATGAAGATGGAGTATCACCTTCTATTACCAAGTCAGTCTAGATTCCCTCTTTCTGCCAAGGTCCCCCAAGTTTTTTCTTCAAATTTTGCTTAAATATCTTTTTTTTTTCTTAAAATTAAACAAAACTTAAAGTAGACAGAAAAGCTAATGGATCATAATATAAGAAAACACCTACCTCAAAAGCAGAAACATTACATATTAACCTTATGCATTGTGATTGAAGATGGAATCTCTAGGCAGAAGTAATGGTGGGCCTTAGAGCTCCTTGGTGAGGTTCCTCAGTGAGCAACTCAGCTGCGCTAATTAATCTGAGCACATTTATTTTCTCAGTAAAACGTATCTTCTACACCTGCAGGCTCCCTGTCTGACCTTCTAGTTATCACTAAAAACTCACTTGAGATGCATACAAAAATCAAATGTTCTTCACTAGCTGCTCCAAAGCAGCTTCTAATATCGTATTTCCACTGGTTTTTCTTTTGCCCCAAGGTGGAAAAAATGACAGAAAGCACCTGACATGATTTGTATACTAAACCCATAACTTCACCTGAAAAAAGATGAATGAGCTAGACAGACCTTAATTTGGTTTATCTTCCACAGAATTATAATTTGCAAACATCACCTTTCTATCCAGATACTAAATCCAAATAAACAGCACATCAAATATCTTCCAGCAGCACATCCTCTAAGTTAAATCACCATTGGTTTAATTGGCACATATACTCACTAAAACATCAGAAACAAAATCAAAGTTCTAGTGTTCACATGCTGAGAATGAAGTAGGAGACTGACTCCTTTCTAATTTTTGTTCAGATTTTGCAGAACTGATGAAACTTAAAATCCAGATGCTCAATTGAAGAAAACACCGTAAATTCATCACTTTTATTATGAGATGTTCTCTTCTGCCCAGTGTACAACAGTGACCGCTGCTGCAGGGCAGCTAGCTCACACTGGGCATGCAATCTCTCTCGCTTCTGTACTTTTCTTAAGACAAACTAGCAAAAGGCAGACAGAGAGACTACATCACCCCAAGCGGTTTCATTCACATTACACTTGTTTCAGGCTTGAAAGGAATGCAAGTGTGAAAGAAGGCAATCTGCCAAATTTCTTTTTCCTCCTAGGTAGAAATTATGATTTGTTATTACAGCTGTAATATCAATCCCATAATGTAAGCTTCTTTATACGTGTTGTAGGATGTTTCTAACACAGGTAAAGTACTGTAGCAGGTGAGGGATAGGGTATGTCTAGTGAGCACACTTTAAGATAAGAGGAGTGAACAACCCTCAGAAGTTCTAAAATGATTTAACCCTACGGAGCATACAAAAAACACACCTTTTATTACACATTTTTTGTGGGTCTGGCATCATGGCCAGTACAGACCAATACACAAGAGTTACCCACAACATTGTCCCCGTGGCAGCACTGTGAATCAATGAAGCAAGGACAGACCTCTGCACAGCAATCCACTCTGCTAACCCACCCAAGACTATCCAATAGTCTCCTGGGAAGGGAAATTTTAAATCTGGTTCGACAAGAAAGTAAGAAAACCAACGTATTTTATTGTTTTGCTAATAACAAATATGATACATTAAAAAAAGTAAATAAAGCCAAAAGAACCCACAACATCCCTTCTGGGTAAAGCTTCCTGAAAAGACAGGAAAATAGTTAAACAGAGTAAGATTAATAGCATTGTAAAGTTTCCATCAACTAAGCTGGATCACTGTGCATAGGAAGCCAACTGCCTCCAAATGGAGGCTTTGTGTAGCATCATTAAAGGTAGAGGTATTTACTCCTCCAAGTTGATATCCGCACCACTAAAGCAAGGAAACTTAGCGAAACTCATGTCTGGCTACAAAACTTCAAAACACAGTGTTCAAATTGTACTTATATAAGGGAGGCCACTAGTTAAAAACTTACCCTTCAAATCTCACAAGTTGCATTTTTCTTCAAAATTTGCTTTCAATTAGGCAAATTTCCATATAAAAATGCAACTTGGCCTTGGAATATGCTTACATATGCAGAGCTGATAATGCACATTTGAAAGGTGAGTGGCATATCCTGCTCTGTACTAAGTCTATCCTGCAGACCCAAGACCTACTTATACGGTTCATGTTTAAAGTCAGAAAATGTCATGTAGATACCATCTTTGTCCAAGTTGCGTTTTACCAGAAGGAGAAAAAAAAACAAAACAAAAAAAAAAAACCCGCAAAATCCTAAAAAGAAAAAGTATGTATTTAAGAAAAAATATAGGCTAACCAGAACACTCCAGCAAGTGAAGTTGCATTCCTTGTCACCTATTTGACTTTTTTTTTTTAATAATAAAGGCAAAAAGAATGTGAAAAGATGCCAGAGAACTAACAAAATGCTTTTATTGTCATTCCATGGTACACTGAGTATAGAGTCGTGTATTTTGGAAATGATAACAGCAAAATAAAAAGTATAACTAAGTTAAAACATAGCAGCTCACAACGGCTCCAATCAAGGAGTGTTTTGCTATGACTCTAGGGCTCCTATTTAAAAACAACCCAGCAGAGTGCAAAAGTCAAATTCCAAAGAACGGTCATTTTCTCATGAGACATGATTTCGCAATTGGCCTGTCCAGTTCAAGAAAGAAAACTCTGTGTGTTTCAATGTATATTTGATATGCAATATCAAGAGATAATATGCAAATAAAACTGAAAACATTTGAAAGTTGTCCTACAATTTTCCGAAATCATAATTTAAAAAAAAAAAAGGGAGAAAGATGACTTCTGTTGAGCACATGGGAAGAAAACAGCACTCAAAGCTCAAGGACAGGAAGCATCAATCTGATTACAGCAGCCCCAAGATATGTGACAAATTTGTACAATATTTCCTGCATTTCTCATCTGGAGCAAACTGTGGGCAGACCACACAATGGACTTAGCACTTCGGGGAACTGCATACTGAAAACGAAACAGGACTCATGTACAGTAAGCCCTCGTGTACATTGCTGAAGCACTCGCACACATTGCTTTGGGACAGCAGTGATGCGGATGGCCCCATATTTCCTAAAGGCAGCCCTTGCAGGTATCATCCATTAATACAGACAGAGAACATTCTGCAATCCACATAACCTCTCTGATGTGATAAGTGCCAAGGCTCTTGCTAGACACCTCTCGGGTTAGAAAGAGATGGCTATCGAATTATTGATGTTTACAAATTTTGTGTACATGCTCTGGAAGGGCTACTTATATAACCCCTGAAGCTTTTCCCTGCAGTTTTGTCCTCAGAGCCATAAGATAATTCTGTTTATACCATGTGAAAAGAGGGATGGTCCTACTTCACTGTAAACCTAGCTTCTTATCTAAAAGAAAGAAAAGCAGGCTTGGTCTGGAAAATACACCGTTTCCCCTTTAATCTATGTACAAACTGGGTAATAGAGCAGGACAGAAATAACAGAAGTATGAATGTGAAGAAAGGTGCTGGTACTTAAAGGAAGAACATTGGAAATTTCCTCAGAAGAGCCAAGTATTTAGTAAAAAATAACTTATTTTATATAGCTTAGGGTCTGCACACAGCTTTCAATACTTCAACCTCAAAACTGACAAAGGCTATGGGAGAAAGGACTTATGCTCCTATCCTGCCTTGCATTGCCAGCTGCAGTAGCTGAAACTATCTGGCTAGTTCAAACTACTAAATAGAGAATATTTACACAGAAATTTCCTTTAAATGTAATAAAAAGTCAATAGTGAAACTATAAACTAGTATATAAAATATATTTAATCCATGTGTTAATCCATATAGGTCCTATTTTGAAAGCACAAATGGTCTAAGCTCCATATTTAGCAGGAATATACTCTTATACTCTTACGGTGTCTGAATTATGATGTCTGAAAGCACCTTGATTAACAAGCAGAAGTGTAACACAAGGAAATAAAAACAAAACTGGTCTGGCTGATAAATGAGTGACATAGCCACCAACACCAAAGCTGAAAAGATTCCATTTTTGTGTGTGTGTGTGTTTAAAAGCCATGTACAATGTTTTCATAGCTGGAGCCCACTCTGAATAATTTAGCAATATTATGCAGACAAATCCCAGGGCTTACACCAGCAGATAGAGAGAAACGAGTCTTATAGTACCAGGGGGTGAAATGGAGACCGTGACAATGTTTAGACTGCAGACAATAATGCAATGGGTATTATTCTTGGCCCCTGTTTAAAATCAAGTTTCAGGCTGATTGCCTAGCCTCAGCAGTCAGACCACTCAGAGAATCTCCGGGATTTTCCTGTTATGTGTGTTTTAGTTCATTTAAAAAGACACCTGGCTACAGTGGTGCTTTATTCCTCTCTCAAATATTTCAAGTCAAATGAAGATGCCAATTTTTTTCTCCTGAAGACAAAAGCTGATATTCTACAACCCCCAAGCAAAAAGATTTAGAGATTTTTCAACAGATTTTATAGTAAGTTTCATTCCTTTGAAGGATAACACATATATTCTTTCTCATTTGGAGATATCTCCCTAAGTGGGACATGTCTGTAGGTATGAATATTGCGAATTGCACATCTTAAAAGCAAGTATGGAAATATAAATAGGATAGACCAATAGCCAGGAGTCAATACACAACATGCATTGACTAGGACAAAACTAATGAAGTCAGATGTAGCCCTCCAGCACAGATCTCATCAGTAATTTCTTTTTCCATAGATGAAACCGCACTAAGGGATGGGTAGGCTGTAACTTTCTAGAGGAAACCTTTGTGCCTGCCTATGTCACTCCCCAAACCTGGAGCACAACACCGTCCCCCCTGATTCACAGACCATCACCCTGCATGCCAGGACGAACATAGGAGCTACAAGGTACTTGCACCTGGCAGAGAAAAGCATGACATGCAACTCAATGGCATGGCACACACTGATGTACAAAGGCTTCCCCAAAACCACAGGGGAGTTCAAGACAGAGGTAGCTGCTCACGAAGTGCTTTTGACGTATCTGGTAACAAATCAAACACCTCAAAAACTT